AACTAAAAAACTGATTTTTTGAGGAAATCAACCATATATTCTTCAATAAAAAATGTTGCATGCAAATCCAAAATTTTTCCTTATTTTTTAGCCTCACATTCTCCATGAAAATACTATTCCAAAATGCATTTTGAGGAAAAAAGTAGGGTTATTTTTTGTAGAGAGCAATAAGTACAATCAAATGCCCTGCTAGCTCACTTAAACACCTCACCTCAAGGTGGATAAGAAAGCCTTCTCTTATCGATTTACATTTGTTTGAATATGCTTGTATGAGTAAGATATTTACAAAATTAAAATTTAGTGGTTAAGGTGACTAAGTTTAAAAGTATTGTAGTCATTAGTCAAATTAAAGGCCTCTACCCGTCTGCAATCCTAAAAATAGCTCAGTTCCTCAAACTTCAATCCTCTATTCTTCCTATTTTAATTTTTTCTTCGATCAAAATCTTGTTAAAAATTTGAATTCAAGCCTTAAAGTAGGTGATGGTTCTTCTCGCTGGGCCGCCTACCGATCATCTTGTCGACAAATCTTCTTTCTCAGTTTCTTGCTTGTGATTTTCCCGGGACAACTTATTCGTGGCTCATTTTAGTCTTCACTGGATTTAGGACTATGGGAGTGCTGAAAAATCTGATGAAAGAAGTTTTGAGCTCATGTAATACTTGCAACTTATAATTTTTATGCTTCAACTTGCAAATGTAAATTGAATGCTGATTGTAAATGCAATTTGGCTTTGTGTTTATATAGAAAAAGTAAGGTTCCAAAATACGTAATGCGTGACGATGCGTTTCAATCGAGCATCAAACATTACATAAATGTGCATGCTTATACAAAGCATACGTGTAATTAAGCGTTTTTCTAATTTATAATATTATGAACTTTCAAAATATATATATTGCTCAAAATCGTAAATACTAAAATTATTTGAACTTTATGCATATTCTTCAAATTTTTAACATTTTAACAAAAACATAATGTTTAATATCATAAGTACTACAATTACTTTGTAATCAATTCTTACAATTAGATTAGACACTAACATCGACTTAAAAAAATCATTAATATTTTCAGCTATT